AAGTATTGCCAAGTACTCACCATCAGTGGTCTTAGAAAAGATTCGAATTTTTTAATTAATGTATAGTTCCGTATATAATTTTTTTGGACTGCAAGTGCCAGGCTTATTTTTATTTATTTTTAATTAATTGAATCTTAAGTTGACCATATAGCTGTTTCAAGTATTGCCCAATAGCCATCCTCAGTAGTCCTTTAATTCTTTCTTATATATAATTATTCATATACTGTAACAAGTTATTTTATAGACTGCAAGTATTATACTCGTACCGCACCAAATTTGAAGCTCAGACTCTGTGTTTATTAGCAAACTGACCGAAATCCACACTTGACTTGTATGTTAGAACTTAGAGTTTTGATCATTTACTGTGAAAGTTCATTAACATATTTACTTTCTCAGCCAAAAATTCATTTAACTAAAAATAAAAAAAGATTTTTGTTGTTGCAATTCACTACTGTTCAAAACCTTCCTATAAAATATATTATAATCAATTCAAATAGTTATTTTATATGGCTAATCCAGTGAAGGTGTAGAGAGGGGTTTTGCTCTTAAACGTGCTCTTTTTTCATATTTCAATATAAAACGCATTTACTTATACCATGTTTTCATTTGTCTCATTTAGTTGGGTTTGCTTATTAGATCCGCTAATGAAGATAATTTACCACACAAAGTGCCTTTACATAAATAAGCTCAATATTTATAAATTAACTAGTTTAAGACGAAAAAATCGAAAAAGAAACGCTTAAAAATAATTTCCTACAAGAGAAATTGAAATATTTGTCAAATACACTTTATATGTAACATGTAAATATGTAATGCTACTTCGAATATATAAATCAGCTTATCGTAATGGAAACGACTAAATCTTAATTTCGTTAACATAAGTAGTGGAACATGCTGTAAACATGATATGAGGCATATACTGGATATATACGCGTATTACGGTCTTACAGATTATTGTCAAACATTTCAGGCTATTATTGAAATGTTTTTCTTTTTACTAAATTTGAAATTGCACAAAGCCAAACTCTGAGAAAACTTTTAAAGGTACCATGGTGCATTAGAACGAATAACTCAGGGACCTCAAAATGTATCCGATCAAAAAATACATAAAGGATAGAGCCCTTAAATTATTTACGAAAACTGACAGACTTACCAACACCACGTTATCAAATCTCAGAATGGTTACAGGCTCCTCGGGGAGGCATGCAAAACTGAGGTCAATTATTGCTTAGTCTGATGAAGTGATAAACAATAATCCAGTGAAGCTGTAGAGAGGGGTTTTGAAGAAACCTCGCAGTTAATAGAGAGTAAAAGTGCTCAAGTATACTAACTCAACTAGCTTCAACATAATAATGATTAATTTATTTATTATTCTTAAATATTTATTATTTTTTCTTATTTATTCTAATGTTCAAAATAATTTATAAATAATGTATATAAGACCCTAGAAATTTGTTTTAACAATGCCTTTAAAAAGGCACTTTACCTTGCTTTTATCTTGATTAGAAATTGAATTTAATAAATAAGTTTTATTCCCAAATATATACACTTTATTTGATTACTATACGTATTTTCCTAAAATAGTATAATGCTCCAATGGTATGCTCTCCTTTATGTTTTCTCAATAATCCAATACCATAATTCCACCACATTTGTAGTAACTTTCTGTGCACACGTACGTACGATTCAATAAAACCACAATTGCACTAAATTACCAACTTCCACATTGTGCAAATTTCCACCATTAAGTTTGTAGCTGTTTGCTCTACATAATTCCATTTCCGTCTGGCCTAATTGTACTCGCACCAGTTGGATTTGGTGCCCGAACTTCTAAAGTTTTCCACTTTTGAGCATTTAAACGCCTTTTAATGTTGCCATTTTGTGCTGCTTTATGGGCTAAGGCACCCGTGAGTGTGTCTCGTGCGGTTTTGGTGCATCGACATTGTAATAAGCCAACTTCTACAAGTAATTATCCGCAAGGACTTCAATTCACAGGTAAACAAAAACTTTTGTATATTTGCAGAGTGCAAATTAAATTCAAAATAAGTTCATGTAAATCCAACAGAATGTTTTAATGGACCTGTGGTTGGTTACCAATTATTTAAAATTTTGTCGCATAAAAACACAATTACCACTATTATTAATGTTTTGTCATAATATTGCGCAATATTCTATGATGCGGTTAAATTGCAATGGAGACGGGGAATCAATAAATAATTTTCATTAATTATCATACATACTTATACTTTACTTATAACTCTTTTATGAAATCATTAGGCTTGTTGTTAATCAAAACAAATAACAATGTCTTTACCGAAGTTTAGGTACGCTTTGCTTGGAATTTTGAAACTACATTGAGTTCTCATATATATAATGTAGTATGTAATAACATATATACTGCTCGGTAAATCAGATCAGGTGTCGTTTCTTTGGATACCTGAACATTCTGGCGTAAGCGGAAACGAATCTGCAGACAAACTAGTTAGGACAAGACCTGATGGGTGCGGAACCTTTCTGTGGATTAGGACACAGTGACCTTCTTTCTCTCATAAAAATGAAGAAGATCCATAACAAAAAGGATTATTGGGATAATCTACCAATATTAACACAATCCAAATCACTTATTGATAATAACAATAAAAATAGAAGATACCAAAATTGTGTGGACTTTTAAAAAGAAGAGCCTAGAACCATTACAGGAATCTTAACGGGACTCTGTAAACTAAAATATTATCTTACGAGACTAGACATATATACGAATGAAATTCTGTGGAGAGAATAAGGAGCCGACCACACATGTCCTTCACTAAGCATCTTATCAGACTTATTAGCTCCAACTTAAACCCACTCAGAACTCTGTTCTCAGTGCTGATAGATTATTGCATATTAGAGAGACATGCAATGAGACTTAATACATCCCATAACTACTTTTGTTGTGGCTGCAGGTGTGCAGAGAAGAAGAAAACTATGTTCTACCTTATATGTTAGTACCCATCTTTGATCAGTAGAAAATTTTATATCTTTAAAACGGCTATTCTCACGGACCTAACAGAACTGTCAGGTTTATTCACTTTTATTTAAATGGGGAAGTTGTGCCTGTTCTCCTCAACCGGCTGTTCTCTTTGTGCTCAAGCTAACTTTGAAGTAGCTTTAATGTCTTTAGGAAAGACTGAAGCCTTACCTAACCTAATAGGAGTTAGTGGTTTTAATCCTTACTTTAAATTTAATATCCTTTAAGTAAACTTTTTAAATATTATCTTATTCATAATTAAATTGATTGGAATTTATCCATAAAAGAAAGTGGAAAGAAAATGTAATCCACTTCTTAATTAAAAAATTCTGTAAAGTGTTTAATTAAAATGACTAAGTGAAGTTATTCAAAAAGTTCTTAACTTAATAAGTAAAAAAACCAAAAAGAAATAGGTTATGAATAATGTTGTGCAAAAAAAAAAAAAACTAAAAAAGAAAAAAAAAACTTTATTGAACCACTTAAACAAGTCGTAAAACTTTCTGTAAGAAGAAATGACTTTTTCTAACATTTCCCGAACTGCAGAAGTGCATAAAGTATTTGTTGAACTGCTGTAGTAAGTCATTTTTCCATTACAGAATCTAATCACCATTTCAGAAAGTATTAATAGGAAAAGACGTATCGGGTATTGATTACACACAGTTCCAGTGGGACATCAACGGATCGAAACGTGTGCTTCGGAAAATGGAAATTTGTCAACAGCGTTTGTGGAAATTTTACATTTTATAAATTATTTCTTTGGTTACGTTATTAGAAATTAAAAAAAAAAAATTTTAAATAGAAAATTCTAAATAAATTTTAAATAAATTGCATATCCAAACATCCATTTCCAAAATGCTTGTGCTAGCAAAGCAGTTAGATATTAATATATTTATTATTCATATAAATCCATACTCGTTGTCACAAGTTTTAGCGTGATTTTGGATATAGACACAATAGATGTTCTGGTATCTTTTCTACAAGCACCGATAGACAAGTTGTACAGGTAGACCGAGCTTGGCTCCATGTCGTCCTATGATCCTGTACCCTATTAAAACAGTTGTAACCCTAGATACTTCTG